CTGACTTCTGCGGGCTCCAGCCTCTGTGAGACTGATGTTTGCTTCTGTCACGGGAACTGAGGTAGGGAGTGCAGAGCAGTGTGATTTGTAATGCTGTTTATTCAGCCCATATGCTCTCAGTTTGACGCCTGTGTAGCTCCAGATCCGCAGAAGTGGAAAAAAGTTTTTTATATTTTAGAGCTCCCCCCCCACCCCCCTCCCATCTCTGCAGGAACTCCAACTAGCCTTGTAGACAAAGCAAACACTTCTCTGTCCTTCTTTTTCTCGTCCTCTCTCTGCTTCTTGCCTTTGGTCGAAGTAGGAGGTAATGCATTACGTATGAGGAGCGGTACAGAGGCCCGGTCTTGTGCTAACCCTGTTGCTCACAGACCATTTAAAAGGCTTTCCATCTTACGAAGACCTTCTGCTCCACACCCAGCCGAGCTTTTACATTTTGCTTCTTCTTTTCTTGCCTGTCACTCTTTGTTTGTCTCTCTGAGGCGCGTTCACAGCTTGAATTCCTATTTGTTGGAAAACACAAGGATGTTTATATTATTATTATTATAAAGGACTTTAAATGTGAGTTGCAGCAGATGTTGTTTTCCCATCAAACTGAAAAAAAGAGATAAGAGGAAATGAAAAGTTCTGGAAGTACTTGTTGGTGATTGGCTGATCAGTGTTTGTTTTAAACCAGTAAATAACAGAGAAATATTTAAAGGGCCAGTGTTATGTGTTTTCCAGGCACATGGTGTCATTTTGTAGCCCAATGAAGTAACTATGTAACCTTTAGTTTAGTTAGAAAATGCTGAATATCAAACACGACTTAAAAGAAATTTTACTTTGTAATTTAATGCCTTGAAATTGGCCCCATCTCTTTAAAAACTCCTCCTCTTTCTGAAACTCCGCCTCCAGGAAGTCATCACAACATGACTTCTCTAGTACTTACATACGGCTAGCAGACGATTTGCTTAGAATGAAAGAATAAACCTGTATCTACTTGCTAAGGTTTATTTTAATAAATTTGGTTTATTTGGACCGTTATCGGACCAATAGGTGACTTTTTCCCCATTTATATGTTTTCCTGTTAGTTTTCCTTCTGAAATGTTGTGAATGTTTCAGTAAAGAAAAGCTTTACGTTACCCAGGAACGGCCTTGTTGCTACAAATCAGCAGCTGCTCCCAGGTGTTGTATTTTCTTTAATGCTGTGACAACTGCAGTCATTTGATGTGGAACTGAATACTGATGAATCGCTGCACATAAAGGCCTGATTTAGCGAATGAAGCACTTGTTAAACTGTGTCGATCGTTAGCCAACAACACACAGTAGCTCAACAGTCCATGAAAAAAACCTGGCTTCTTCTTCCTTTAGTGGGGAATATGTTTGTACTCCCAGCTCTGTTCCGGCAGCTCCTCCATTTGAACTGCTCTGTCTGTTTTAGTCCGTCTCTCAGGTGCCTGCTTCTTATCACCAATTGACCAATTGACCAGTAAGCATGACATGCTAAGTCATGCTTACTGTAAATTGGTGCTCTCTCTCCTCTTCTGTCACCTTGTCCAGAGGTTGTTGCTGTACTTTTTATCCATTCCTCTTCTTATTTTTCTCTTGTCTTCTGTTTGGCTCTTGCAGCAGCCTGTGGCTCTCTCTCACTTCTGATTTTAATTTCCTTGGCATTCTTCTTTGGGACAACTGAAAGTCATCATTAGTTCCCCTGAAAATGATCACATTATTCTGAAAACAACCTGCGTAGCTTGACCAAACAGTCAGTTGTCAAGCTAACCTTTCTTTTTTTAAAAGCCATGCCTCACATCCTCACAAAAATGGTTCATAGTACAGACCCAATCAAACTTATAGAATAAATTTGTTAAAAAAAGAATCTTTAATTTCACCTAGTGACAGAGTTCTATACGACAGCATAGTAAATAAGAGGAATAGTTTTAGGCTGAAATATTTTGAGATCTTTCAAAGTTTCTAGATGAAACAAAAGTCAAAAATTTGCAAGAGAAATCTCAGAAATTGAGATTATTTTGTGGAAAGAACTAAGAAATGTCCAAGTTTGAACAGTCAAAACAATGGCTAGAAAAACCACAGAATATTTTAGATTAATCTCAGAAATTTTATAGAAAACCTTGGAGATTTCTTTGTTCAATTAGTTTAAAATGTTCAACTTTTGGTAATTTTCTGAGTTTTAAAAGTCAAATGTTTTTAACTTTTGAAAGTCAGAAATTTCCAAGAGTAATCTAAAAATATCCAGATTTTTTGGTGGAAATTTATTCCTTTTTTCCCTCTATTTACATTGTAATAGCTTTGTGACTTTGTAATAGCAATGTGATAGCAATTGCAATAGCAATTGTAATAGCAATGTGACTTTTGTCATGTTAGAAATATTTAGTTTAGGTAGTTTATTCTTTTTTTTGCTATTTGAACAGAATGTGGCTTAATGAATCATTTGCATTACAGCATATATCAATTAAATGTTACAAGGGAATAATATTTCTCAATATTTATAGCAAATTACATTGAAGTAAATTATGTTAGCCATCAGTGTTTTGTATCGACTATAATATAACAAAACAGAAGATGAACTTCCATTGTAATTTTCAAGCTGTTGTAATTTTAGCGATATACTCAAATCCATTTGGCCAAGTAGGAAACATTTTTTAGCTATTTTACATTTTAAAGTCTGTGGTAAGATGTCAGAGCATTGGCAGACTCTTGTGACTTCCAGCTTCCACTGACCGGTACATTCAGTCCGATGTAAGAATGTCTAAGTTAGCAAAACTCATTATGGATTTTTTTTTATTTTTTTATCTAGACTGAAACCAAAGTGTTTTTAGCTGAAACTGTAAGAGAGCCAAAAGGGATTTGGTTTATTCATTTTTTTATTTTTTTTTTTTTAATTGACACCCAGGAGCAAATGCTTTGGGTGCAAAGTGAATCCCTAATTTTGGCACTGGACTTGTGTGAGTATAGCTTCAGGTTAGCCATGGGGAAAATTAGAAACAATGAACTGCTGGACTCATGCTGTGACTGGATAATATTTTTAATTGAAAAGCAGGACGTGCTGCAGCATTGGCATGAGACATAATTCCAGACATATTCTCTGCAGAGACATCAGTAGAATTAGAAGGTTTTCCACTTCACTTAAAGTTCATTTCAGAACTTTAAGTGAAGTCCTGCGGAGGAACAGTAAGAGTTAATGGCAATAATTCTGGTGGACAAAGTTATCTCACCCTGGAATTTCCCTCGATTGTTCATAACTGGCGTTGAGTTGATTGTAATTCATCCACCGTCATTTCTCAAAGCTGGAGCAACAGAAAGGTAGTATTGTTGAGGTATCTGAGTGCTGCGGATCACGCCAGCCCTGTTCAGTTCCCTTTAATTGAATTGTAGTTTGTTTGTCTAGAAAGTTTAATTTGTTTTGGGAAGTGGGAATGCATAATCAAACTCTGATGTTGATAAAAAATAAAAATGCAGCAAACTCTTGCTCCGCCTAAAAATCTTGGGCTCTGCTTGGTGCGCTTTGAAATCAAATGTTCCAGCTTTTGGAGGAAAACGCTCCAAAAGCTGGAAGTAAACTAGTGCAGGGCATTCTGGGTAAATACAACTGAAACAAATGTATGAGTCTAGCGGTAGCAGGAGAAATGGTTCATGGTCTTTTGCCAAAGAGTAGAGAAATCCTCCAACTGCTAAAAAGATGGAGCTCATCAGGTTTCTCAAAGGGTTTGGTTTGTTTTTACAGTGCAGTATGAAAGTGAATCACACCAGCTGAAAATGTAACAAATTTTGGTCCCCAATTGAACCAAGTTTACTGGATTGTCAAGTGTGGAAACTCTTGGCATTGTTTCTACATGAAGGTGGGCTGGGCCCCTCAAATGAACAAAACCAGAGTTAATTTGAAAGTCAGGCAAAGAATGAAGCAATGAATGTGATTCTGATTGTTTGACTGATACTGATATTCATTATTGGTGATCTGATCACACTGAGAAGCCTCCAAGCACAGGTCCATAGTTGGTCCAGAACATTTTAAGGTGTCTGACTACAACCTGACCCCTTCAGAAGGACTTCACACACGGGAGACAATGTCGCTCCCTTTCTGTTCATTTCCTATAGAACTTGTGCAAAGAATTGCTCTAGCCAAGCAACTGACTAAATTGCACATAGAGGCTGGTGAAGCGACACAAGAAAGTTGAAAATTGTTCAACTTTTGCCACTATTGCACCCTGTTTGTTAGATGCTAGCTAATAAAAAGGTAATTAACACCAGAACCTCCAACACCTATACAGATGTTTACATATCTTCTAAAGTTATTCATAATATGTCTCCAATACCTTTACTCTAAACGTGCCTTCTCCATCTCTTTGTCTATAATGTTACTGAAGTTGTGCCAGAAATGTGATAATTTGTGTACGACATATAAAAACAATTGTAAATCTACAACTCCTGGCAACATCACCTGAAATCTTTCCTGGTAGAGAATGACAGGTTTATTTTTATTTTTATTTTTTTTGCCTGGCACATTACGACTTTGTTCCACCTAACCCTGCGTAAATAATGGATTTAAATAGCACATTTCAAGATGCTTTGGCGTAATTGTCATTTCCCACTTGAACTTTTGAAGTTCAGTCTGCATAATGAATTGTCAATGCGGGTCGGTATAAATGCCTTCTTATACTTCTTTACATAAGGTGCAAAGCACACCAGCTATGTTAACCAGTTCATTAACTTTTAATTTCCCATTTGAGTAAGTCAGAAAATAGAATGCAATAACTTTTGTTTGATGTTTGTTGACTGTCATGAAGAAAAAGAAAAAGAAAAAAAAACACATCCCAACCTGCTTTTGGAAAATAATCTCCATTGAGCAAATATCTACAGTTTACCCTGCTTTGTGCAGTTTTAACACATGAATGCCTCATGCAGGTCGTTGCCATGCGTTTCAGATGAGGATGGCAGGAAACCTTAAACTGGCCATACAGCAGGTCTCACACTTTTCTTCTCCCACATTTCTTTCTTTCTCCATCCAGAGTTAATAGATGGGACCCCAACCTTGAAAATCAACCATGGCTCTGGCACACTTGTGCTGCAGCTGCCAGGGAACATCAACGTGGCAGACAGGCGCTGGCATCGGCTGGACGTCCGTAGCAACAGCAAGGTGAGACACTTCATTTTACACAGGCTGGCACTTGTTTAGCATATAACCTGCAGGTCTTAGCTGCACTCTGTGCTGTATGGCTCCAGATGTTCCACAAAACAGCTCTTAAAGAAATATTCCTGCATGCAGTGTTTATGTTTTATCCATTTATTATGGGATGGATAACACTTAAAATTCCATGTGAGTAGCCTGACGTCCAGTCCGTTCGGCCCTCAGCGTTTGACTTTAGTAATTGTATGTTTATGATGGGATGTTGAGCGTTGAGGGTGTTTCTTTGCTCACTGAAGATGCTTACAGGGTCATTAAAAGCTTAATCCATCTGGAACATGCAGTGTTATGAAAATGTACAGGCCAGATTACAGTTTTCTTCTGTTTTTGCTTTATGTCACTCTTAACATGTTTACTTAAACAGATGTTTAAATTATACAAATGTAAAAAGACATTCATTCAGTCAAGGGAGAAGGCTTACACTCGTCTTCTGACGTTTACATGTTGTCCCCTTCAGTGGTTGTTGGTGCAGCGCCACCACAGGTAAGGAGGGGAACAGGTTTTTCGATTAGTTTGGTTAGTTTGACACAGTGCAGTGTGAAAGAGAACCACACCAGCTTTCACAAATATTGAAGTTTTATTCCCCGGTTGAACAGATTGTACTGGACTACCAGGTGTGAAAACACCCTAAGATGTTTTTTGACCAATCTGAGCCTTTGTGGAGTCATGAACACTGATCCTGACTGAGGGACCTGACGTCTGCAGTGCTTTGGTAGTTCTTCTGGGTTCTGTTGTGACCTCCTGGATGAGCCGTTATTAATGCACATCTGTAGTATTTTTGGTAGACTGGTCACATCTGGGAAGGTTCACCACTCTTTCGTTTTTCTTCCATTTGTGATTAATGGTACACACATGTACCAATATCTTTATAACCCATTCCAGACTGATACATGCAAACATTTTCTCATCTGTTCTTCATTTTCTTTAGATTGGGGCATAATGTTCTTGTTTTGAGCCCTTTCAGCCTACATTATGATAAGAGCGGTTTTGCTGTAACATTTTACACCCAGGTTTTATTATTCAAGAAATCAGTTAAAGTGCCTCAAAAAATGTAGATAGTTTATGATTTCATGAGGAGACTTGTTATATTTTCACCTCAGGCTATGTGGGATTGGACAGATTTTTTTTTCTCTTATTAAATGAAATCATAATGTGAAACTTCTTTAAAAGCTAAAACTTAACAAACAAAACGGGAACTATGGCAACAGTAATGCAGCGGCGATGCCGGTTGTTAAAGACAATCTGCATGGTTTTATTATTTTGTTGTTATTCCAATTTTATCCTGTCCTTAAATAATATAATGAATTTTGATGGTTACTGTTGAGCCAATCTGAGTAATCTGAAGAACTAAAGAAAAGGGAAAAGAAATCAATTTAGGCATTACAGCTACTTTACATCCATATGACTAATTCACATAATAATTTTGCTTCATGCAAGCCTAATTATTTCCATCCAAATAAGGTAGATGGGGTGATTTGCTGTTGTAAAGCTGTCTGAACTGTACGGCACAAAGGCAGATAATTGCAGTAAAAGTGAGATGGATGGTTACAACAGCCTCCTTTGACACTTTAAAGTGAAACGAATTAGCTAAATTAGGCTCATCTTTATTTGACTGAGAACTGCCTGAATCTTTTCACCTCCAAGGATTCAGAGTTTTATTCCTCCCTCTCAATATCAACAAGACTTTTGGATATTCTATTTTTGGAGGCTTTGATATAACGCAGCCTGACAACTTTGAGCTTTTCTGTCTTAGTTTCAGCATAGGAAGCAGCTGGACTGGACTCATGTCTGCCTCCTTTCATCCTAACATCCTCACCTCACCTTATAGAGGTTTGCGGTTCAGTACTGATAGGAGGAGTAACATAGGCAGGGCTCCATGTCTTCAAAACTTTATCCCTCTGAACTTTTGTACTCCAAACCTTTAATCTAACCTGGACTGTTAGTCCTCTACGGATCTGGTTACATAAACTAACCAGATCTGCTGGCACTGAGAGAGCCGCCCTACTAGCTGCTCATGTGTCGTAGTCTGCAGCTTGTTGAGGAGAGTTACTGCATGTGTGAGAGAGAAAAAAAAATCTGTCCAGTAGTATGGTGATCATTTCACTGAACTCCAATTCAGAATCGCACAGCATTCTGGGGGATGTAGGCAGAGGAAAGGCTTTAGTCGCTCCACCTCACAGTCCAGCTAAGCCAATAACTGCTTTACTTTTAACCTTAAAATTGAGCATTTTGAAATTTTGAAAATAAGTTTGCTCATTGGAAACTTTTTCGATATAATGGCACTAGAATGAGGTGTTTTGTTTTTTTTGTCTGCATTGGTGGCTCGCTGGTTTGATTCCCACTCCATCCGCCTCTGTTGTTGTCTCTTTGGGCAAGACACTTCACCCTGCCTTTTCCTGCTGGTGTTGGTGAGAAGGGTCGATGGCGAGAAATGGCAGCCTGGCAGAGCCGCCATCAGCGTGTGAATATGTGACTGAATGGAAATGACTGATTTCATTGCAGAGCCATCTCATTTCATAATTTCACAAAATTACAGTGAACGCACTTTTCTTGCAGCGTAAGTAATATGATCAATAACCAGATGTTACTACTGGAGGAAATGATGAAGAAGACGACAGGAAGTGTTATGAGGATGATTGGGCTGCAAGTTTATTTTTAAAAACTTATCGCAAGAACATGCTCATTCACGTGTGATTTTGATTCCATTTCTTTTTTTTAAATTGAAACATAGCAGTTGCAAAATTGTGTTTTTGACTTTAACGGAATATCAATAAAGTTTTGTGCACATTTGTAATGGAAACACAGCTACTGTTTTGGACCCACAGTGGAAACACAAAGGAAAGAAGCAACCGTAAAATGAAACCTCACAATTTAAAATATATTACAGTTAGCGTAAAAAAAAAAGTTTATAATTTGTTGGAGACCGGGCTGATTGGAAAATAATGCTTACATTATTATGTAAACCAATTTTTAAAAGGAAACTCAAGCAAACCAGTTACATACATTCATAATGTCTTGCAACCAGTTTTTATACTGTTTCTGTATATGGGTTGATTATTTAATATGTAAATGATTCCGTTTGTTGATTTTCTTTTGGTTATTCTTTTAATAGAACTATATGTACTGCGTTCTGTCCTGTGAATTGTATAGTGAGGTGTTTGTTTTTTGTGCGCTTACTTGTCTTAGGACAAAAGATGAAATTTATTTATTGTGCTAATTCCTGAATATTAATGTGCACTGTCCTAATCAAATGAATTAACTTAGATTAAGAATCTAAAATACTTACCACCCTCCACTTATCCAAGTTCCAGCCCTAGGATTCAAGGTAAAAACAAAAGTACTACCTGCCTAATGTCCACCTAGATAATGTTTTTATCATGGTAGATTCAGTGGAAATGAAGGAGGGAAAGAAAACCAGCCTGATAAATAGATTTCTCAGTTGAAAACCTTGACCTTAGTCCACCACTCAACCATTAAGATAGGTATTAAATTTGCATCCGTTACCAAATAAAAAATCATATTTACTCTTCATAACTTACAGGTTTCATTGCATCTTTTGAATTGATTGATTTTTTTTTTTTATTTATAAAAAATAAATACTTCAGGTCAGCCTCACATCAATATGTGTGGTTACACAGAATATTTAGCTCCAAAGGACAGCAATATTCTGAACAGTGTGAAGGCCAGACGGCTCCGAGACTCTATTGTTCCTGTAACCGGGATTAATCTGCATGGCGGTTATTTGAAATCAAATATGAATCTATTCACTTGTCCTGGATAGTCAGCAGAAGCTTATCCAGGCTGGAGATTTGACAGCTTGAGATCAGAAGCAGCGAGGGCACGGCTGTTTTCTGCAGATTTCAGCAGCCAAAGCCCTGAGTGCTATTATTTTACCACCACTGCGCTTTAGTATGGGAGGAAAATGTGGCAACAAACTGTGAAAAATGCTTTGGTGAGCCGTGCCAGTGATCCACTGATACCCCTTAAACTTTTTCACATTCTACTACAAATTCGATGAGATTTTCATAGGATTTTGTGTGATGGAAGGAAATGATACATAATTCACAATAAGCATTTTATGGATTTGTTTTCAGCTTTCATTGAGTCAGTACATTGTAGAACCACCTTATGTATTGTTATCATTTAATAAGATACTCAGTAGGTTTTTTACAATAACAATAAACAGTATTTTAACCATTGATCTGTATATTTTAGAACACAGATTCACTTGTGGATGACGAGCAGTTGTGTCTGCTGTGTAACAACTAGCATAAGACCCAGCAGGTAGCTTTGAAGTAAGCAGTGCAGAAACAAGTGAGTCACTGCTCCCATGATGATAGTAATACTAATGGGCCACAAGAAAGCAATAATTACAGTCATCAAGATGCAGAGAAAAACATGTTTTGTTTGCTTTTGATGCGATTATTTCTCACAGACGTAACCCTGATTTGTTTCCTCCCCAGGAAGTACGCTTCACCTTGGACCGATGTTCAGGAGCAGCAGTGATGGAAATGGAGGGTCTGGGCAGCTGGCTGACCACTGAGGACCACTCCTCCTGTGAAGTGATGGGTGTTACACCCAACGCTGACAGGTACAGAGAATGTCTCATTTTCCAAACGGAGAAGCATTTAGAGGCACTCTGGAATCTAATCTTTTACATTTAGAGATGCATTCGAGAATCATTAAAAGGGCAAAACAATAGGTACATATAACATCAGGCATTTGACAATGCTAAATACTGCAATGTGATGGTTTATTGTTTATTCACCTAAACCAGAATGGAGAGGCAACTTATGAAAGGCTATGTACGCTAAATGAGTTTGTCTTTCATCTCCATCTTATTTACTGTGGGGTTTTAGTGAGAAATTATTTACACACAGTTCTCAAAATTCTGCCATAATCCTCAGTTGGGTTGCTGTCTCAACTTTAACTGGGACATAATGACACAACAGGCCCCTATTCTAATTCATTCATGTTGGCCTGCTCTGACCCAACATGGGTTGAGCTCCTGCTGTTGGACACCTTGCTGATGGTACATTTAACATTAGCTTTATTTTCCTGACCCTTTGTATCTATGTCACTTAATCACATAGAGCAGGGATGCCCAAAGTGGGTCCTGGAGGGCCGGCATCCTGCATGTTTCAGTTCTCTCCCTGGTTTAACGCACCTGGATCAAATGATGGCTCATTAGAGACCTAAGGAGAATGTTGACATGATGAAAAGGTTGTTACTACCACCAGGGAGAGAACTAAAACGTGCAGGATGCCGGCCCTCCAGGACCGACTTCGGACACCCCTGACATAGAGACACAATGACAGACGTCAGAAATGAGGGACAGGATTATTGAATAAAAGAACTACAATTGTTTTCCCAAGTTGTTTTTGCCAGTGTAGTAATGGTTTTTACTTGCTCAAGTTGAGCGGATCGTCTGTGGAAGTAGCACAGCTGCATTTATAAGACTTGGAAATAGTTAGCTTAGAAACCGACCCATCCCTTCTCTCTCCTGACGTGTTTGTTGATTTGATCAAATCATCAAGTTTGCCTGAATTCACACCAGATGATTTACTCCACTGGGTCATAAACAGCATTTCCCCCAACACTGACGCTGACTTAATATTAATAGCATAGCATACAAAAGTGTAGATGCTAACCAGATTTTTCTTTTTTTTTTTTTGTACATGGCAGGATACATGATGGTGGAGCATTTCCTACATGGTTGCCAGTGATTAGCCAAGTACCTTCTCCATAATGCAACATTTGATTGCATCTTACTAAGCTTGCTAATGAAGTACATGAATGTTAATCATCTTCTTGTTGACTGACTGCTGAAAACACTGACAACTGAACTGAATGGCGAACTCCGAGCTAGTTGGAAATGGCTTAATAACTTGTAAATTTTTCTGAAGCTCTTACTGTTGAGAAGAGTAAAGACTTGCTGACTCATTATATATGTGTGTGTGTATATATATATATATATATATATATATATATATATATATATATATATATATAAAATCAATATATATATTGATTAAATTAATATAATAAAGCTGATTTAGAATTTAAATACTAAAAACCAAAGCAACATAAATACTACAGATATACAGATATTGGGATCACGTCTTATTGTTCTGTTTTTACTCAACTCCTGTTTGTTTTGCACTCTTAAATATCACACACACGTTGGTCCAAAACACTACCTGCCTCCAGAATGCTGTGTTCTAACGGTGCTGGTCATTACGTGTTCATATGACTCTGTGTTTTTTTTTTTGTTTGTTTATTTTCAGACACCTAAACACGAGTCAAGTTCTCCAGCTCGGCGGTGTGAACGAGGACATTCCCTACATCTACCCTCAGCTTCAGCACAAACACTTCACCGGCTGCATCCGCAACCTCATTGTGGACAGCAAGGTAACAACATACTGCCTGTTATCCACACACACATCCACACACACACCCACATATGACCAAACAAACCACTTAAACATCAGCAGGAAAGCAAACCCAAACTCACACCTGCACTCCAGCTGATAAATGCGTTAATAACACGTTTCAACATTCCCAGTGCCCTTGTGCCATGTTAGAGAGGGTTTTAAGCTTTTAACTGGAACCTCAAAGTCTTTTCAGACACTACACACACACGCACACACACACACTCTCTGAGAGTGAAATGTAATATCAGCCTCGGCACTCCTGGCCAGCGCTCCCTTCAACCTTCTCCTGCTGGGTTGTTGTTATAAAAAGTTGGACTTTACGCTCAAAGCATGACAGTCCAAACCCAGCCCTGCCTAAACCCGAGTCGTTTCTGCAAGAGCAGATGGCTCTGGTAGAAAATCTGCGTGTGAATTTGTAGACTTGGAAATTTGACATTTTTTTCTGGAACAGTATCCATGAGATGGAGATGGTGTTTGCTCTTTTCGATGTAAAACTGTTAGCATAAAATTACAGGTGTTTTAACAAATTGCTGGGTGTGAAAAAAGGGGACATAAGTGATACAGTGCTGTAAAAAATGAATTGTTCTCTTACAGATTTTTTTTTCTCTTTGCTTATTAAATGTTTTAGCTAATTGGAAATATTATCAGACAACCATAACTAGAGTTTCAGTGGCATTTGCTATTTTTTCTGGTTTAGTTTTCCTAATCACATGCAGACCTGACAGCTGTCTCACCTACAGAGTAACAAACACAAGAGTATAGAGGACCTGAGCTGAGATAGCACTCTCTATCTCCCATGGCTGTAAATCTGGTTGAAATGCTGCAGCATGACCTGAAACAGGCTTTAAATTCAAATAACTGTGCAAAAAAAAATTAATAAATAAATAAGGATAGGTCCAAATTCTTCAATAGTGAATATGAACGATATAGCAAGTACTTGATGACAGTCATATCAACTTACTCATTAAGACACTTTAATGAAATAAAATCTGTTGGGGGCAAACACTTTTCCTTGACTGTGTATGTTTATTATTGTGAAGTACTGAAGGCTTGGCTCTAGTGGGATTTACCTTAGCCAGAGATAAAGCAAGAGTATGTTCAAAAACTGTGTGCTAATGAGATAAATCTGCACGGTATATGTGGGCGGACGCAAAGATAATAAACCTCCAAAGAGAGGGAAGAGTGGGCGTTTTGATGATTAATAACGTTGATGGACATGCTTCAGCATTGTATGCTTCAGGATTTTCATGGTTTCTCCTTTGATGCCCTTTTATTTTATTTTATTTTTTTTTTTTTACTGAATGTGTTAACGTTTCACTTTCATTGCCATAGCAACATGGTCTGTTTCAACCAGGATGCAAGTGCCTGTGAAGAGATGAAGGTAGTTCACGTGGATATTAGCATTTACCTGTTCTTGACCCTCACAGCACTGTGTCAGCTCCATTAAACACTTTAAAGACAACAGCAGGAAGCAGTGAGGGGAGGTTACTGCTCTGAGGTAGAAGTCTGGATGAAGGAAAAGAAAAAAAAAAAGATTTTTTATTTTTTATGCTTTTTCCTGTCTTTCATAATTATGTTTCTATTCCAGAGCCTCGCCTCTTCCCTCTGGCTGTCATTCGCCATTGTCTGCTTTTAAGTCTCTCTATCCTCATCCTGTCATTTCCCAGCTTGTCTGTCTCCTCTCAGCCCTCACATTTAGATTTCTGCACTAAGTTTTTCTCTGGTTTTGACACGTCTGTCACTCCATTTTTAGGTTGGAGCTTTTCACTTACAACAGTTGGGGTAATGGCTTTGTGAGTGTGAGCAGCTTTGCGTTGCTCTGCAGAAACGTTTGACCTGCAGTCGTTTTTTACGAAGCGTGTTATCAGGGTGTTACTGATGCATTACATTACTCTGCAGAAGTACTGAGTTCCCCCATTTTGTCACGTTACAACCACAAACCTCAAAGTACTTTGGTGGAATTTTGTGTAAAAGACCAATACAAAGTGGGTTTCATAGTTTTACAAATAAATATTTAGAAAGTGTGGCATAAGGCCAAAACGTGGCAAATGTCTCTACGATTTAAAACTTTTAGGTTCATCTTTGTCTTAAATTATAACTCACTTCAGTTCAGTTTCTGTTCAATTTATTTATATAACACAAATTCACAAAAAATGTCTTGAGAACATTTACAAAAAAATAAATTTAATTCAGTTACACATACATTCCATTTAATCTTAGATATTAAACGGTGCTTTCAGTTTTTTTTACTTTTATCAGTTTTCCATATCAAGACTGAAGCATTTGCCTTGTATTTGCAGAATAACTCAAGCTCAGTCAAATAGGACAAAGATAAAATCTAAATGTATGTTTTAAATCTTTCTACAATTCTTTTAGGTCTGAACTTTGACCTCGCACACAAATACATTTTGAATGGTTGTTATATTTTAGCTCTGGTTTTGGGGATGGGTCCGATGAGCTTAAAATAAATAGTGACTCTAAGAAACTCATAAGAAACCTAACAATTTTGAAATATCATAAGGACTCCAGTAGCATACAGTACATGGTTTGATTTTTGTCACTAAGCTACATTTCTGTTCTCATCAAGCCAGTAGTGAAGAAAATAGTCAAAGTAGCAACTCTGACAATACAGCCAGGGAGATCCAAACATTGTTTACTGGAATTTATCTGTGTTGTGATAAATGAAAATGTATATTATGATAATACATTTTTATGATAATGATACGATAAATGCCCACATGCTGTTGTCCTGGAAGTTTTTATTCTGGGATTGCCGTGTTTTTAGCTTTGCCCATCCCCCCATCTAATCCAACCAGCAGCCCGCTGAAGTAAAATACTCCCACAGAGGGAGAGCACCACCAGTATATATCTCTGTGTCTCAGTCTGCCAGGTTTATACATACTTTGGTTTTGAAACTTCCAGCAGTCTTGATTTGAATCTGTCCTTAAAATACCAGAAACATCTGTGTTGCAGTGGGCACATTTCTGCTAATCCGCTAATAGTCCAGCTAATTTTTAGCTTAGTGTTTTAGCTAGCTTTAAAGACATTCAGTGCATTTAGCTTCCCCTCGGTTATTTTTTTTTTTTTTCTGGATAATTTACTTGGCTGTTTTGTAACCTTTCAGATGAACCTTTCAGTTCTACATCTTTACTGAAGTTTTGGTTATTGACGTCAGGTTGTCAGACGTTATATTCATGCTCGTTTTTTGCTGTTGGTGAAGACCATTTACAAATCAGTCTTGTTTTCTGTCCACATTCACAAATTAACAAATTAACTTTACTTAAAATATGAAACATACAGGAATAAAATGAAATATACAGTTAAAAGACAATATGTAAACGAAAAAAAATACAATATCTAAGGACTTTATAGGACATGTAAATTATAATATCAAAATTAAATTGGTGCTCTGGGATTGTAGTCTTTCTTGCTATGTTGTAGCACATCTTTTTGCTTTTGTCATATGAAGGTAATCAACATAGTTGACATTTAGCATTAACTAACTGATATTTATGATTAGGGCTTCAGGGTTAGCGCGGCTAACTTTCTAACCACCACCGCTGTTCTTATTACTTTAGACTCTTATTACTTTGGACCTATCTTCACCAGTATTGCTAGTGAAATGTAGTACCTTTGTTTTATTAAAAAAATATCCATGATAGATGAGATCAAGTGTTTCTTTAAATGCATTAAAATGGATTCTTTGCCACATGATTGGTGACACATCGCTCACAGCACAACACACTGTTCTGTAGGCTTTGGATTTTGGTTCTCAGCATATTTTTCTCTCTTTCTGAGCGATGACATGTTTATACCCAGCACCTGACATTAATCTCACCAAATAGGGCCGCCTGCAGTCGTCTATCTGAGAGACTGACATTCCTCTCTGCTGAAGCCACGCTTCACAATTTGTGCACAGGCAGGTGAACTTTGGCACTTGAGTGTTTTGTTCAGATTCTTCTTCTGTCGTTATACCGATGCATGATCAAATTACATGCAGGGATGGGAATCTCTCTCTCTTGCTGTTTGGGAATGTTTGGGCTTCAGCTCTTAGTCCTCAGCTGGATCCGCACAAACCCTGCCGTTTTTAAAAAGGAGGAACCAATAGGATGCTCCGCTTTGCTGGAGGCCAGCGGTTCCCTGACAGCACCATTCAGTCAGTTTATACTCGTTTGCATTCCTGCATCTTCTCTGCAGCACAAAAAGGCTGCACAGAATACGGGATTGTCAAAGGAGCCGCGTTTAAGTATTCAGAGCTCCCGCAGTCCTTTCAGCGCCGTATGCAGCTGGTCATGCAGGTTTTCCATCAGAGGATCGGCTCTGAGAAGTTAGAGAGAGAAAGATGGAGAGAGAGAGAGAGAGAAAGAGTGAGAGTATAAACAGAACAAGGGAGGAAGATGAGAGTGGAAATGAAGGAACCCTTAGCGAATGTCCTTTGGCGCATTCTGCAGTCCCTTCTTCAGTTTTCCCTTTCACTTTGCTTGACTTTTGCTGCTTTAAAGAACTTTGTCTCCCCCTGTAGCTGTGGAGCTGCTTGGATCTCTGCGTTTTGCTTCTCAAACAGCCGTTCCTCTGTTGTTGCCGACTGGTTTTGTCTCCTGTTTATAACCTTGCTCAGTCACTGGTAACTTTTCCTGTCATCACACTTTAACTTTGCTGCCTTTTTTTATCCAACATCCCCTCTGACTTATATCTTTTATTTGTAATAAACTGTACTCTTCCCTCCCTTATTTCTTCTCTCCCCATTCCACTTTCTTCACCTCCTCCCATCTCGTCTTCTGTTCTTCCTGCACCTCTGTCCTCTCACCTCTATCTCCTGGGTTCAGCTGTATGATCTGGGCTCCCCGGCCGACTGGCAGTCCAGCTCCCCAGGCTGCCTCACCACTGATAGCAGCTGTGTCAACATGGGCTTCCCAGCCTGCGGCCATCGCGGCCGCTGTCATGGGGAGTGGGGCTCCTTCAGCTGCCAGTGTGTGGCCGGATACACGGGACAGCAGTGTGAAGAAGGTAAGCCAGATCTGTGTTGGGCTCATGAAGCTATACGGCGTCTCCACGGTAACCGAGCAGGTCTTAGGGCGGGTCACAGAACCTGAAACACTACGTCGCATCTGCCATGAAGTCAAACTCCTTTAACTTTTTCAAATTTTTTTCAGGTTACCACCAAAAACTTTTATTTTGTTGAGATACTGTCAGAAAAGGTCACATAAAAACTGTGTTATATCTTTATATTCATCCAACTGACTGAATTATCTATTGAATCACCTTTCAAGGCAGTACTTTATGTTTAGTGACTCATTCTTGTTTTACGCGTAGCTCAGATGCAGGCTGATTGGATGGGCTGGATCTGGACTTTGACTAGGCTATTTTAACACATGTATGTAGTTTGATATAAACATTCCCTGTTCATATATTAATGAGAGAGATGTTAAACATATGGCTCTGGTGTGATCTGCAGGCCATGGGAGGATTAAATGGGGCCCTCAGACAGATTTTAAGTATCGAACCAGTTTTGCACTTCAACACAGATGCAGATAGATATTTTGTTTCACAAATTAAAATATTCTTAAAATGGAAAATGTTAGGAACAAGCCAATGTATTATTTGCCACACTTTTTCCTCTCATTATAACTTCATTATAAATAAGATTTCAAGCATCCATCGCTTTTTACTCAAAAGCGGATTTGGGTTGCACTCATTTATTAAAAAAGCCTGAATACATTTATGAGGGAAGTGACCCACATCCCATCTTTGCTGCTGAGAAGACTGGAACTTCTTTCCAGACCAAAAATTAGAAAACAATTTACCTCGAAGGTGCAGGACGTTGCTGGTGATTTTTCCATTAGGCAGATGTACTAGAGGTGCACAAAGGGTAAAGATTTTGGACAAATAGATAAAGAACAGATGCTATTTAAAGGAGGGGTCATATACATCACACTTTTTAGGTTTTAATCTTTGCAAATCTTCAAAAAGCATGTTTGATTTTTGTTCCACTCTACATCAATGCACGTCTTAGCAATGTCTGTCTCATATAATGAGTAATGGGACGCAATTAAAATTTTGAAATCAAGTTATTAGGAGGATCTGTAATGGATTGTTTGCAATAAACTAGTGATAAAATAAGCAGCATTTTTATTTCAAAACCCCTTTTTGCAGAAAAAATATTGAATAAATTGACATGAACCCAACAACATTAGTGGTTGTGAAATTATTATTCAGGGTTTCCAACCATCAGATTTGCACACTGTGTTATTCTATCAGTTCAGCTTTCCAGTGTTTCAGAAACTCCTGATCTTCTATAGAAATGTGGGCTGTGAACGCTGCTGTTAGCGTTTGGGACGTCTGTGCTGCTGCTACATGTTTAGCATTGAGATGCTATTTTAGGTTTAAATAGCTTTACTGATATCCTTACTCCTTTTAGCAAAAATTGAAAACACCAATAGTCTTTTCCAGCGTCCAATCAGATCGGTTTTTGAGGCAAATATTAACCCTCAGTGGGCGGAGTGAAGCAGCTTGCCGTCCATCGCTGTTGTTTGCGAAAATAGTTTTTGTGTCAGTTTTAAAGGTGTACCAGAAAAATGTGAATACAAAGGTTCTGTCTGGAACCTTTGTATGTTAAAAAGAAAAAAAAAAGTTATTAATTGTGTTAAAAAAAATGTCAATATAACTAATTATTTGAAATTAATGGGTTGAAGTCCCAACCTTACATCTAATACCAATAAGGAACACTTACGTTGATGTTTAACGTGACAGAATATGAAATGGGTGAAGGCGTTGTACATCCAGCATACTTATCAGGGTTTAAAACACAAACTAGTCGTTTTTGCTGTTATTTATCCTAGCTGTGAAGGAGAAACTAGCAAGAGTCCTCTGCTAACACCACTCATCACTAATTGCCCATATCTGCCTGTGTTTCTGCCATTCTGACGTTAATTCTTCGCAGTCTCATTCCTTCTAGGTATCCTCTGAGCAGATGTTGTGTTTCCTGCTATGGGAAATGAACACACAGGTCAGCTGCTTCTTCCTTTAAGGATTCTTAATTACTGTTGTGTGTTGCTGGCAGAGCAGCATGCAGCCTCTCGGCAGCTCCCACATTAAGGCTCCTTCTGGCCCGGGGATGAGCTCTCCTTGTGAGGCTGTCTGTGCCGGCCGCATGGCTGCGGAGGCGTTCACTTGACTGCAGCTGTTGGAAGGAGATGGGATGTTTAATGATTCTGGTCCGACTCTGCGCACATCCCAGTTTGCTTTCTGCTGACCGCAGCACGCCGTGCCAGGCTGCGCCGTCCTCCCCTCCACTGTCCTCTTGCCTCAGAGTGACACTAATTGACAGGGCTTTCTCAAATGCCACAGAACTAGTAGAAGAGTAGCGCACACACTGTTGTCATATAAATAACACTGGACATGCAGCTATTTTTTAAAATATATTTTCTGTTTTAAAACAGCAGCCAATAAGGGCTTTGTGCAGCAACGTGAACGACTACAGCACACGTCAAACATTCAACGATTTAATGAGAAAAAAGTTGAGGAGACAATGATAAACAGCAATTAATCACTTTTACTGTTTATACAATGACTTGTTTTTTTTTTTTACATTACATAGCTGAGTTTTGGCAGCCAGGGAGGTCCTCTTTGGAAAAGAGAAAAGAGTTGTTTACTCAGCTTTAATTTGAGAAGGCAGCACCAAAGGAAGCATTTTCTTTTGGCTCACCGGGTTCAGACACTTTCCACACAATTCAGCATCCAAAGTCTCTCTTCGGAGATTTGTTCCCATTCCTTGTTTGCTCGGTTTTCATAATCACCATCATAAATGTTCTTTTTTTAATTGCAACCCTTCCCAATTAACAAGAGATTATTACACAATAGAGGATAGCATTAATTACACCGAATTTACAAATCTCATGCAGCTACACCTCTGGTCCCTTTTGGTGGGGAGTCGGAGTTGTTCCAGTACATCTGTGTCTTACTTAGAAGAGACGATAGGATTGGTGTGTGCGTGTGTGTGTGTTTCTCTGGTGAAGAAAGAGGTTGGTCAAAAGCCAAAGCTCTAAATTTACTGGTTTGTCTACAGTTTGGCAATCACCTGTTGTAGGGACAGGACTCTGGATGCAGTTAGAATGGCCATCCCTCTCTTGATGACTGGTTTAAAGTTGAGCCACTGTTTCTCTACATCAGAAAGGGGTCAGTGTAGGTGAGTCGGTCATCTGAGGTAGAACAAGGGCGGAATTTGGTGGAGTGATTTTATAGTCACTGGAAATGCCTTTCTATTCAGCTTAATCCAATTGAATAATACTTTATTAATCCCTAAGTTGTCATAACTCATGTCATCCAAATATCTTCAGTCGTAGACATGATAGACAGGATATGATTGATGGAATATGGTTTGAACTTCCTCCTCTCTCTGCTCTCTGCTGATTCTCTGCATCTATGAAGCCTCATTTTCTGGAAATTGGGGGTCATAGTTCAGATATTCGATCTTTCTGAAATCCTAACCACCTGCTTCCAGTTGTGAAAACAACACATTGTTTCTGCTGTTACACATCATAACAACTGTCCAAAACTCTCTTCAGCTGCACAATATCCAAAAGCAGAGAGAATATCCTTCCAAATACACAACGCCTCAGACAAAAGCATTCATGAACAAACTGAACAAATCAGAACTAAAGTGACAGAGCTGCTCCAACATGCTGCCACCAGTAGAGGTGCAGTTCTAATGAGTCTCATTTTGGATCCCCCAGAACGAGCTGGAGAGTGTTACTAGTGAGAGGAACGTCTGGTTTTCCCTTCCTAACCCACCGGCCTGATCTTGGATGAGTGGAAGGATTGTTGAAAGTCTACGATATAGTTGGTGAAGATCAGGACAGAGTTTTAAAGTGGTCTGTAGATGACAGCTCATGCTGCAAATTCAGTGCTGAACGAGAAAGGGCTTGATATGGTTTTGGCTTAAAGCACTTCATCTCTTTAAACTTAGATACCTGGAATACAGAGTGGAGGTCAGGATCCACAACTGCAAATAGCTGAAATCATCAAAATCCTCTTTTGACTGCTTGTTTTAATAGTTCAAACACCAAATATACCTCAATATGCATTAATACACACAGTGAAAACTGTCATAGCACTACCGCAGAAGCTAACATCCACCTTCTTCCTTTTCTCTGCTCTTGGAGATTCAGCCAATACTGTATCAAGTTACATTCCTCTGTGGTATTTCAAAGGTGCATTTTGTTTTGAATGTTTTTGATACCAAGAACATTTCTGTGGAGCTGCATTCCTCTGGAAAACCTGCCAATAGCCGGGGGTCCAGTGTTAATATGAAGACGTTTGAGTGATGCATTTTCTCAACAAATTTGAGAACATTGGATTGATTCTGCCTGACATTTGTTCTAGAAACAGAAAAAAGGAGATTACATTGAGTTGCATAGATGATAGAGAAGATCCTTAATTGTTCAGTGTCTAATTTGTGTGTATCTGTACTCCAGAGGCCCCGGAGTATTCCTTCGACGGCCACAGTCATCTGCATTACCAGCTGGCGTCTGCACTCCCGGCCCGAAGAACGTGGATCCAAGTCCTGGTTCGAACCCGGAAACACAGCAGCATCATCATCAGCCTGGTGTCCAGGGACCAGAGTGAATACCTGCGACTGGAGGTGAGCTGGCCATGTAGGCACACGATCATGATCGCATCAAATCACTGGCACATTGCCACGTGTTTAGAGTTTGTGATGAGCAGCTTCAAAAGCTTCTGTTTGGTCTATTCATCCTTTAGTCCTGATGTGACAAAGTTCAGTGTCGCTTTTTATGCCATGCATTACCCATGATGGCCCTGATTAAAAGCCTGTTGAATGGTTCAGTTCATTTCAGGGTCACAAATCCTTCAGCTGTGATCTGGTTATGTAACATGGAGTCCAGTGTCTTGTGAACGTAGGTTACCCAAATATACTGACCAGAAGATGGCGTCTGTGTACATGATGAGTTCCTGGTGTGTGTTTACCAAACGTGCTCATTATTTATGTGTCTGTTGAGCATGATAGCTTTTTCATTTTGGAAAAATTGTCAAAGAATTGCACTTATGAAGTATTTGTCTATGAACTATCACTTTTGGAGACAGTTTATTAATAAGGTGGTCAGACCATAACTCATCTGCTGGAGGGATGGATGGACCAGGAAGTGTTCACATTTACACTTCAGATCCAAGGAAAGTAGTGGCTTCTCCTTCAACTATCATCTATTTATGTCAGTATGTGGGTGTTTTGAGACCGACAGACATCAAGAAAGTCATTAACTCTACAGTTTTCATTTGTTCAGGATAATGAAAATATAATTTTAATAAAAATAGAAAAAATGCTCAAGTGATGCATGATTCAAAAGTTTTGACTTAACCCCTAATGCGTTGAGACAACACTAAGACTTTGTGAAAATCAAACATAAGATATGATCAGAAGTGCCCTGCATCAGCACCGAGGCACGGTGGTGGAGGCTGATGGTTTGGGCTTCCTCTGGTAACATGACATGTTAACCACAAACCTCTGCTGTAGAGTCAATGTTGAAGCTAGCTGAAGCTTGGTGGATCTTTTGGTTTAAAATAATGAAGTGGTTTTGGAAATATTTGGAACTATGTAACAATAAAGATTTAGAATCAATAATTACTGGGTACATTTTCATCAATATTGTCGCAGTTCAGCTGAAATGTGTAACTATGAAAAATTATTACAGGTTGAAGATAATTTAATAAGAGTCCAGCTAGCAGCATATATTTATTATAGTATTGTTATTGGGGGGAGCTGCACTCATAAATCAGGCGGTTGATCAATTGGCGCCGATTTCCTTCATTTTGTGAAATCGGCCGATACTTAGGCATGTCTGACCGACAGCCCCGCCCACCAGGTCATGTCTGGTTAACAGTATTCACCTACTGTGGTCAACATTGCCACTTGTCTATTTCTCAACTTTAAAATCGAAATTGACAGGTCAGGGTTTTGAAATTGGAAAACTGCAATCGGTGCACCCCTAGTTGTTCTTCCTGTTGTTATTATTACTATTATTATTAGTGGTGCTAATGCTACTACAAATATGCTCACTTTTGGTAGACAAAGTCACAAAGAATAAATGCTCTTAAATCGCCTTCCAGCAGTAACAGTTAAAAACAATGTCAGGTCTGAATGCATTAAAACACTTGTTTTTTTTGCTGATGTTTTTTTTTTTTTGTTGTTGATGTTTTTTTTGGTTGTTGTTGTCTCCAGGGCTTCATTACACCCACTGAATGTTCTGTTCACACTTTAAATGTTCCTTCATTTCTGTTCATTTGCCAGTTTCCCTGCTTTGTCTTGACTTGTCTTAATGTCTTGGACGGCGCGGCGCCTCTCTCCGGTGCTTCCCGGACGCTCGCTCCTGTTTGTCACCCCGCCCGGTGCCCGCACGTATTGATCAAACTTCAGTGTCTAACTGATGATGATTACAGGATCCATATCACAGCCGCCATTAGAGTGCAACCTCTCCTACGATCCCCGTCTGTCATCCATCTGTCTCTTCCTTCGATTCATCCGTTTCTGCACTTCCTCTTAAATGTCACAGCGCTCTCTCAGCACCGCCACATGGGGAGCAGGTTCACATCATTTATCCACTACATAAAGTGCATTTATTCCTGGGTGCAGACAGCATGGGGATATGTGAATCTTATGAAAAAGCTCCCCGCAGTGACATGCGGGATATTCTGCCTTGGTCTCTGCTTGGAGTAGAAGCATATTGCTACCAGGGTTATGTTGTTCTCTCTAACAGCTCTGTTTGCTTTTAATCAGGAGGAATTAGTGTGAGTTACTCTTGGCTGGATATACTTTCAGGAAATTAGGGGACTGATTGTGTTTGGCTTAATGAGGGAATAAAGCATTTAACTGTAGGGAATCTTTAAATCTGTGCAGATATACTGTATAGATCCACTCTGAAATATACAAACATGAACTGTAACTGTGCACTTCATGGATTTCTGATGTTATGTCACGTTAGAAATGCATATCGTACAGCATGGTGGAAAAGTATTTGTTCCCCTACAGATTTCTTCAGCTTTTGCTTTTCCGCCACACTTGAAATGTTTTTAGCTCCTAATATATATATATACAAGTACCTTGTTGTGAATGAATTACCCTCCACAGGTAATTCTCATCATGTTCCAGCTCACTGTAAAAACTATTTATCAAGACATGCCTCCAGGTTGTAAAACCTTTTTTTTTTTTAAACCTGGTTTGAGAACTAAACTGTTGATTGCCGCAGGTTATTGCTGCCAGCACCCCTGTTAAAGTAATTGAAGAGTTAATAAATTGATTGCCATCTCCTTTGAGAAAAAGTTGACAGCATCATATTTTGTTATGACCAGGTAATGCCATTTTATGTTTCCTCAAAGTCACCGGGACGGTGCATAACCCGACATTCACTGATTAGGATACGGCATTAAAACGCTGCTCTTTCATTCCGCTGCTTTGCAAAAGGTCACACTGCTGAGCTCATTTATTTTTACAAGGCTTTCTGCATGAAAGAATGAAATACTTGACCGAACTTGTCCATGCTCCTCACTGTAGGTCACCTGAACTTTTGTTAGAATTAAAAAAAAAAAAAAAAAACTACACCTGCTTGTCTAGTTTGCCAGATGTTGCTTTGGACAAATTATTTGCTTTTGCTAGTTGCTTTATGATCACCTACTGTCATTACATGTAGTCTAAAACAACACTACCATCCGTAGATACTCCGTAATGCATCAAACTAAAACTCCTTGAGCTGAAAGTTACAAAGGAATTCCACTCAGCTGTTAAGAATTCACATCAGGGCTTTTACCACACACCATGTTGAATTTCATTTATTTACTTAGACAGTAGACGGCCTGTCAGATTTCTGGGTCTTACTTTTCTTTTATGCACTATTACCCTAGTGGGTCGGGTTGGTTAGTTGGTTGGATTAGTTTGGATAGGTTAGTTTGGTTTGTGGGTTTGTTGGGTTGATTGTGTCAACTGTGCAGATTTTCAGCTAACCAAAGTTTTGTGTTTTCAAAATGTGTTTTTAAATGGTAGCAGGTTCATCGTGATGTGGTCATTTACTCTAGATAAAGGGTGACGTCTCCCGCATGGGTGAGGAGCTGCAACATCAGCCACCATGTCTGAAGTTCGATCGTTCATTCATTCATTAATTCACCAAAATGTCAGATTCTTTCCATTTTCATGTCAGTCAAGATTAAAATGTTTTTCCAATAACACTTTGTATGCATTCAGAATGAGTATAAGAGAAGTATCAGTGGTGGAAATGACTGTATGGTTCATGTATCTGTCTGGTCTTTATACAGACCAGGTTCATTTTCTAAATTTCTTCTATAAGAAACAAATAAATAAACTGAAGTGATTTTGGGGAATGTACAATGGTATAAATCCCAAGAATCGATGCTCATCAAAAAAAAAAAAAAGAACCTCTTAATTAATCATTAAAAGCCTAGAAATACCAATTACACGACGAGCAGATGTGTTTAGATTAAAATGTTTTGTTCAAAAACGGTGCAGAGCTTAAGAAGCATCTGAAGGATTAAAAGTTTCTCTTCTCTGGAAGTGTTGACTGCAAACAGAGTGGCACACACAAAGTGGAAACTCCAGTCACACCAGCTACCACATTCTCATACATGCCACCCAGGGAGCAGAGCTGGAGTCAAATCACACCACTCTGTTCTGCTTTAATTGGGGTTAAATCAGGTGGCTGGGAGCATGTCTGGATAAAAAGCACTGCCCTGGTGGATTGTGAACATAATTATTACCTTATAATAGAGCCCTGGAATGAGCCTCCGTCCCAAAGCCAAACAGCCTTGGAGGTGTTCAACATCTTACCCAACTCCTTGTTAAAAGTAGGGAGTCGTTAACGCATGAATTAGGACAGGAATAGGTGAGGGAAATGGATTTTAAAAAAAGCAAAGACATGGACATTTGTAGTCGGGTATGTAAAGTTAAGAGTAATGATCTGCATTTTTGACCAGCGTCCTCCTTCAGAAACCTGCCTTATGTTTATTATGCTGAGGAGAAGTGAGGAAGTTACCGGTGTGCGCCCACGTCCCCGTCACATCTCTCCTGCTTTGTCTCAGTTTGCCTGCCCTTCTCATCTCAGCTCTGTGTTTACGCGCTAGCAGTGGCAGACAAAGATGGAGGGGAGGAAATTATGCTCAGTGGGACACTTGGAGGATCAGTTTGAAATTGAAATGAGGACGACCCACCCACCACCGTGTCTTTCTTAAAACAGCCTTCGGACATATTCCGTCTCCCCCCCCCGCCCCCACCCTTCCTGCATTACTGGCCCTCCATGCTGCATGGATGACAGAGAGGCATTGGAATTAAAATAAAAACAGAAAAAGTGCACCGGGTTTTATTTCAGGTTCTCAGTGCAGCTTGTTGTGATAAATGTATTAATTGGTTTGTATTCGTACGTTTTTGTCTTAGAAACGTTCCTCCTGCATGTTTTTCCTTAAAAAGACAATAGACATTTACCCTGGACTGTGGATCTATATTGCATATCCTTACGGTGTTAAAAGGAGCAGCTCTAAATTATCTCATTGTTCTAATCAGTCAGACCAACTGGAGTCTTTCTACCTTTAAAATATTTAAATCTGAAGCTTAATCCTTAGTCACTT